GGTGTGAGGGGGTGAGGGGTGAGGGGGGAGGGCGGAGGAGGTTGGTGCTTGTCTGGTTCTCTAGATGGTAGGTTGTGGCAGGAGCAGGAAGGCGCAAACGGCTCCCACTGCTGTTGAAGTATAATTGTGTGGTGTGTGGCCCGAAATCCCACCTGTGACGAGCTCGCTCTCAATGCGCGCGCGCTCATCCGTCAGCGCCAGGGCCTTGCGCAGGCGCCTCATGGTGGCAGTGACGAGGAAGCTGCGGGGCGGTGCGAAGACGTCATCAGCGGTCCGATGGGGGTGGGGCAGGGGGTCATGGGAGATGGTTCAGTCAGGAAGCCGAGGCAGTCTGTTTGGGCGCGCTGGGGGGAGTCCGGCGAGCAACGCACATCTATGAGCTGTTCAAACAGGTGCAGAGCCCTTGGGGTACGCTTATCCGCAATTACCATCGTCACTTCCCTGAGTCAAGCCTGCAGCACATAGCCCTCACACGCCAGCTGGCCGTTCCTGCCCGCTGGCTACCAAACAGATCGGAGGCCGCATCCGCGCGCGCGCCTGTTTGCGGGCACTGTCGCGAGGATGCAGGCCACCGCCACCAGTGACGCGGCCCCCAGCTGGTGCCACAGCAGCACCATCGCTATGATGATGCGCAGGGGTGACGACATCATGCCCATCACGTTCTGCAGGCGCATACGTGAATGCGTGTTTGGCACGGCCGCGGAGAAGAGGATTTTGAGTGACGGGATCAGGATTGTGGAGCATGGCAGAGTGGGCTGGCGCATGCTCCTCTGTGCTGCTCCAGGACGAGCTTGGCCTGACTACGCAAAAGAGAAGCCATAACATGCGATGCTTGAAAATGCAGTGGCATTTCCTGGAGACTCCCTTGCCCTTCAACATACCAACCAACTGCATGGAAACTCCTCCTTCCCTCCCCAATCGCACGCACTTATGTCAGCGCACACAATACAACACACACACATGCACACACATGCACACACATGCACGCACACGCGCACAATCACTCACACCATCACACACACACACACACTTGAGGATCCAGCCCCTTCTCCCCCCCCACCATGCAAAAGTCCTGCAGGGTCTGTGTGTCCGACACCACCATGTTGTACACGCGCCCACTGCCAAAGCGCGCCCGCGCGGCCGGCGACAGCGCCAGGACCTTGCGCTGCGCCTCCGCCATGAACACCGCCTTGAGCCTGGGGGGGGGGGGCGATGTGGCGTGCGTATGTTGGTTGGTGTGCGGACGAGCTATCACGCGCGTGCTTGTGTGCGTGTGTGCGCATGAGGGAGTGTGTATGTGTGGGGGGGGGGAGCTGGAGCAGGTGTGCATTGTGGCAGGTGTGCCGGGTCGGCAGCGGTGAGTATTGGTTTGTGTAAAGAAAAGCACCAGCACACCGCAGGACCGACGCGTCCCAGGGTTTGCGCGCCTCATTGAACCAAGCACTTGCAGAATGAAAACAAAGAGCGGCCCGCCCTTGCCTCGCCCCACCTGAACCCGGCGCGCTGTGTCGCGTGAAAGTGCTGCGCATCTGCGAGGGTGCCCGACACAGTGCCCAGGAACAGCGCCGCCGCCAGCACGTACCCCTTGCCGCGCCCGTCCAGCGCCGCCCACCACGCGGCCGCGGCGCTGGCCCAGCCCTGGGGCCCGTCCGCCCCAAGTAGGCTCCTTGCCGGCAGCGCGGCACCCGCGGCGCCGACGATGACGCCAGCGGCCGGACCGCCGCCGATCGGATCCAGATCGCTGAAGCCGGGGAGAACGAGGCTGACAAGTTTGTAGGCCGAGGTTGATGATAGGGCCTCGCCGGCGACGACGGCCAGCAGGAGGTTGAGGATGGTGGGGCCGACGAACTGTGATGCGTCGTTGACGAGCTTGAAGGGCACAGCCTTGATGAACTGGCCGCCCCTGTGGGGGTGAGTGTGAGAGTGGGGGTGGGGTGTGAGGGTGAGGGTTGGGGTGGGGGTGGGTTCAAAGGTGTTGGAGCTTGCAGAGGGTGGTGGAGGGAGCCCGAGAGGGCTGCGGTGGAGTATGTGCGGTCTGACAGGACTGAGCGGGGAGGGGGGTGGGGGCGTTGCGGGCATCGGGTCTATTCGCCATCACAGGCTTCGGCTGCGACAGCCGTATGGGCGGCGGTCGCCAAGAGCGGCGCTGCCGCCCTCACACCTGAACCCCCTCCCCCCAAAACGCTCACACGACAGCCCAGCAGGCCGCCAGCAGCGACGCGCGCTCCGGGCCTTTGTTTGCCAGCTGGCGGTGCCACGATCTCAGGAACGTTGCTTCAAGGCCCTGGAGGAGGGGGGGCCGCATGATGGTGGTGTATGGGCAAGTGTACGCTGGTGGTGATGGCATCCGCGTGCCTGGGGCGGGCACCGCTATGCGCGTCGCTGCCGAGCAACGGCCAGGGCGGCGGGAGGCTTCGTAGAGAACATCGCACACATGCCCCCCTGCCCGGCACGCGCATGCGTGCATGCACTCATGCATGCAATCATGCGTCCGTGCAATCATGCGTGCATGCAATCATGCATGCGTGCAATCATGCATGCATGCAATCATGCATGCAAGCAAACCTATAGGGTCCCCAGAGCCTCAATGCTGCCAGGGGGAGCTGCAGCTCAAGCAACCTCTGGTCAGTGCAGCCCCTGGCACCGGCCCAAGCGAGGGCCGCAGCCCCGACCCCTCCCGCCCCTCACCTGCACCCGGTCGCCCGGGGGCACGCGCCACACGTCCTCAGCCGTCAGCGGCTGGCGAGAGCCCTTGCGCACCTGTGTGTTTGTGTGTGTTGAGTGGAAGGGCGGGCAACAGGGGCTAGTTTGCAGTACAGTGAGGTGGCTTGGAGCGCACATCAGGGGCTTGCTGCTTTGAGGTTGCCGCAACGCACTCAATGAGCGGGGCACTTGCAAACCACCTTTCAGCCGTTGCGGTTGCGGGCTGGAACACAGCCCACACCACACTAACTCGAAACCTCTGCATGCGAAAGCATGATATAACCCAGTCAACACAGCCACCCACCAGCGGGCTCATCCAGCCAAACGTCATGAGGGACCACAGCCCAGCCCCGGCCTCTGGGCACACCGGTGCCCCACCGCTGACGTCACCGCCGCCCGCCGCCTCCCGATCCTCTCCCCCTGCCAGCGCCGCGTACGCCCCAAGGCCGTCCGCGGCCGCGCGCCGCCCGCCGCGCGCGCCGCGGCGCCCGGGCGCCACCAAAACGAGGTCGCGCGCCGCTGGGCGCCATGCGGCAACCGCCGCGGCGAGGCAGCACTGGGCGGCCACAAACACGGCATACAGCACGAAAAAGTAAGACGCCAGCGACGGCGGCGCCCCGGGCGAGGGCGCGGGGCCGGGGTCGCGGGGGGCGTCGTCCGGTGTTGCGAGGAGGAGGAGGATCACAAAGCGCAGCTTGACCAGCTCGGCGCTGGCGACGACGAGTAGGGGCGCGGCGACGAGCCACCTGCGGTGCTGGATGTAGGAGCCGGCGGCCTGGCGGGCGATGACGAATGAGAGGAGGCCGAAGGAGAGCGCGGACAGCAGCAGGCCTGTGGGTGTTGGTGTGGTTGTTGATGGGGGTGAGAATGTAGAAGGTCAGGACAGATGCGTCAGAGGGCAAGTGGAGGTAGGGGGTGGCGCGCAAATGCGTTGGGCGGCGCCCGCAGCATCTGAGCGATGCATCTGCCTCTGCACTGCTCAAGCGGGCGAGGAGGGCCCCCGCCTCCCCCATGCCCCTGGACAAACGCGTGCAGAACGGGCTGGGACGCTCTGATATTGGTGCGCCCACTGGCGAAGAGTGCACCCAAGCAACTGCCCCTATGAAAGGCGTCCGGCCGCAGTCGTCCGTCCGTCGCGGCCGTCAGCAGCAGTGATCTAGGCGCGACCTCCCACGCACCCACCCGCGATCTCGTGCGGCGCGACGCCTCCCCCCAGCAGCGACACGCTCTGCTGCGCCACGCGCGCATTGAGCTCAAAAAGCGGCACCAGCGCACAGAATCCGGCCAGCAGGCCCAGCGCGCGCGCGGCACGCCGGGACGCCCCCGCGATGCGGTAGCGGTCCGCGGCGCCGCTGGCGGCGTAGGCGAGCCAGCATGCGTAGAGGACGATGGCGACGGTGTGCGCGGTGCCTGCGGGTGCGACGTGCGGCGGCGGCGGCGAGACGGGCGGAGGGGTTTGGGAACGATCGGACCGCGGCACGAGGCTGGGAGCAGCCGGCAGTGCAAAACTGGCTGCGGCGGAGTGCGCAACCGCCCCTTGAATCATCCAGGGGTTGAAAGGCCGGCCACCGCCTGCCGACAGCGCTGTGGTGGCGTGGCCGTCGCCGCTACAGAGGCGCGGGGCGCGGGGCGCGGCCGCGACTGCCGCGGGTGGTCTCGGCTGCCGCCGTATTCCGTCATCACACCCACACGGCGCGCCTGCCAAAGCTCAGTCAGCCCTGCTGCAGGCCCGCCTTACAACCCAGGCCTCCGCCGCGCCCCTCCCGCCCACGCCACTACGCCCGCCCCGCCTCAGGAGCTCCCGCAAAGTGGGACACCCCCCTCAGCATGCGGGCAAGGGGGGGGGGCCCAAGGGCGCACCGAGCACGACGATGTCCAGGAAGCAAGGAGTGAAGCGCCCCAGCTGCGGCCAGGAAGCATCGCATGTGGCAGAGGGCACGCACGAGCGAGGGACGGGGGCGGCAATGAGTGCAGTTTTCTACATACCAGCGTCGATCGGCGCGGCGCGGCAACAGCGGCAAGTGGTGGGAGCCCCCACGCATAGTCGGCTTACCTGGCCCGCAAAGTCACGCGTGACGCTCTCTGGATCGCATACAGTGAACACGAAGCTGCCTGCGCCCCCCAGGGCTGCGCCCAGCAGCTTGGAGATCATCATGTGCTACCCCGAGTGACCCATGGGCTCGCGAGGCAGGAAAGGGATTATTAGATATCCGTATTGATACCAGCACTTCAGCTGTGCCTGACGTTGCTGCACTTTGTTTTGCCAGTGCTGGGCAAGTGTGACCGGATGGGCACAAATCCCAAAGCACCCGGCGACGCCGTGGGAATCGCATTGGTGAACAAGCTGTCTGTGCACATTGTGACAAGGCACACAACATACAGTGAGTTAGTATCATGCAGTTGCGCGCATTTATGTAGAGTGTTGTGTAGATGAACAGCTGCAGTGATCCCCTTGATGCAGGCTGAGCAGTGAGCTACTAGCAAGTACCAACCCCGACGGGTTGGCAGATGCACGTCAATGGTCCAACCCATGCAGCTTGAGAGCACTGTTGGGAAGGTGAAGGAATCATCTATCAACAGGCCAGGCAAATCCCCTGCGGTCAGCCGTGTGGGGACTCCAGCGCTTGGGTGCATCTATATATAGATTATATAATCAGGGGTGCGCGCACGCCCAAGGAGCTTGCAGGCCTGCACAATCGCCTCATACCCCGAACGGGAATGCTCCAAGCCGGCCCCAGCTGCACCTGCCGCAAGTGTGGCAGTCATCGTCTCGTCTTTGTCACTGCGCCATGGCTGCGCGCCTGTCGCTGTGCAGTGGCGAATGACCTGAGCTTCCGGCCACACACGCCACCCGACGCGCCCCCCCTGCGCCGTCCGCGCCTGCTCTGGGTGCTGTTGATACCGGGCGCTCCGCGAGGCCCTCCCGTCCCCCCTGCCCCCTCTGCGACGCCTTTTTGAACCCCGTCGAAACCCGTGCATGCTGGCACACCGGTTATGCTTTCCTGCGCGGAGGCGTAACCGGTGTGCCTGCCTGTCCTTGAGATCGGGGGCGGCGGCAAGAGGACCGCCTAGGCGGCGAACGACACGTACGGGCCGCGGATTTGCCACAACGGGCTGGCCCCGCTCGACATCAGCGACAAGGGGCTGGCAAAGGTCAACACGCGGGGCCTGCACACTCGCACCCTCTTCACGTGCGAGGGCGACCCCTTCGCCCACTCCATGGTGCTCACGACCCGCGAGTGCGCGGAGGGGCCGGTCACCGCCGCCATGCGCGCCGGCTGCGTGCTACCTGCGGTCTTCTGGGCGGTGGACACGCCAGTGGGCGTGCGCGTGCTGCTGCGCCTCTGGTGTGTCCTTTGTCTTCCCTCTGGGTGCATGTCAATATGTATCAGCCCGATCTTGCGCGGGACAAGGGCCACGGCGACCCCTTGCTCAGCCCCCGCTGTGTACGCAGCTGCCGCGTTTGCAGCAGGGGGAGGTCCGGGGCGCCTAGGGGACTGCCCCTGGCAGGGACAAGAGGACGGCGGCCGGCCAGCGGCCCCAAAGCAAGCCAAAGCCGCGGGCAGCCCACCCGCTGGACAAAGGTTGGGTCGTCGACCCCTTCAGCGGCGCGGTGATCATGCAGTCCGTGATCCGCGGTGTCAGTCAACCCGCTGCGGATCTCGGGCGGCGCGACCTCCTTTGACGGGCCGCCGTACCTGACCGTTGAGGTGCCGTCTGGGGTGCTCGACGCCGCCTTTCAGGGGCTGTTTATTTGACGGCGACACGCGGCTGTGCATCGCACGCCGTTGCACTGCTAGAACTGGCGGGTGAGATCTGACGTGGTCGCAACGGGATCACAGGCGCTGGCCTTGGCCACCGCGCCGGCCCTGATGGGCTTCATCAGCTGCTGGCGCTTTGCTATCTTGCTTGGGTGGGGCAGAAAGGACTGCTGGATCATGACGCTCTTGAACTGCTCCCACTCTAGCGTCATGGGATCAAGGCCTAAGGACTGGATGTATGACATCACCCGCTGCCGGAGATCACTTTTCATCGCCCGCAGGGCGTATGCCACCAAATGCTCGCGGGGCCCCTGTCCCCAACTAGCTGCAGCCAAGGCCGCGTCTCGGCCTCATACCAGAACTCAAAGGTCTGGCCCTTCACAGAGGGGAACTCTGCCAGAGGCGGCACATGGGGCAGTGACCCCACAGTGAGGGGTTGCTGACTAGCCACCGGGGGCCACCCGCTGAGCAAGCTGGGGAGTCATTTGCTGCTGCTGCGCTGCCATGACTGTGCGTCAGTCATCCCAGGCTCGCGGAAAAGGTGCGCAAGCGCATTAAGCCGCTCTAAGGATTCAGGGTCTGCTATGACCGTGATCCCTGCGGTGCCCGCCAGGCCACCAGCGGTGCCCCGCGCGAGCACGCCCCCGAGGATGCCCGCAAGGCGGTCATCCGGCGCCGACCCTTCGGCCACCCCGGTCCCACCACACCCTTCCGGAACGAGCCCACCGCGATTCGGAGTATCTTCAGTATCCATGGCCTCATGGTGAGCGCCGGCCGGGTCGGGCCTGGCCGTGTCGGAAGTACCGGCAGAATCCGGCGGAGGCTGCCGCTGGTCTGCACCGCCGAAAACGGGATTATTATAGGCATGTGTCATCACTTCTGCAGTGTTTGTACGCTACTCAAGTGAAGGGTCGATCTGAACCGGCTTCCAATGTAACGGGCGCGTGCAAACGGTAACACGGTTGGCTACAACGAGACGGGACAACGTCGTCGTATGCTTGTCCAGGCGCCCATCCCACTGGACATCAGGTCTGCTCGGCCAGACCGACAACCCCGTCTCGCCGGCTCAACTGCCGCAGGCTCACTCACACAATGGCCAGCTGGGCCTGACTCAGGCCTCAGATGCCAACCAGGCACTGCCACGCTACAGTGCGGCCACTTGCCATGCACGCTATGTGGCGTGCATGCACCAGCTGCGCCGTGACAGCTGTGACCAGTCCGGGCACCCAATGCCCAGGGGCGCTGGCTGGGCGCGACAGCCACATGTGAACGCGGCAGTGGACCCCGCATCTCAGCGGGTCACGCCGCGCAAGCTTTGGTCACGCGCCGCCCTGCGTGACCACTCGGCCCTCAGCCAGCGATACCCAAAGCGTGCCTCTCGGTGCGACCCAAGCGCCGCGCAACAGAGCGAGGAGCGGCGCTCCCGAATCGCTCCCTCCCTGCGCAAGCGCTCGCACCGGAGAGGTCCTCACGGCAAGACCTCGGGCCGCGCCTGAGCTATCCCCGCGTCGGCGAGCAGTCATCCGCTGATCGCGCGCAGGCGCCCATGACAGCCGAGCCGTGGCAAGGCGGGCCTGGTCGGCCGCCCGCGTTTGGAGACGTGCCCGCGCGCGGACCGCCCAGTCCGCCCCTACCTCCACGCCCGCCTGCCCGCCGGCACGCAACCGCGGGGCGGGCCACGCCGAGGCCGGTCACAGAGGGTATAGCTCGTGTCAGGCACTCAGGGACATAGGGCAGATGGGAGCCCTGCCGAGTGGGGTGCTACTGCCGCGCTCAGTAACTTGGAAGCACACCCCACGCAGCATGCAACAACGGCGCAAGTGCATGTGTACTGCCGTTACGGCGCGCCGCTGCCCGGCACCTGCCCTGGCTGCTGACGGCCAAAATCGCGACGACGCTTGCGGCGCGCCATGAGTGGTGTTCACAGGAAATGTGCGCGCCTCACCCCGACAAAATCAAATTACCGTTCGTGGGCAAACGGCAAAGAGAGTGCCATCCTGCGCCTTGTGTGAGTTCAAACATGCTTGCCGCCTACAACTTTGCTTGCCAGCAAATCCTTGCCGCTACGCCCAGCGCAGTCAGCGCTTGGGTTTGTTCGGTCCACAGCGTGCGCTCCCGCTCCCTTGCAAGGGGGGGGGGGGGCGCCGGCAGTCGGCTGCCTTGCCGCTGCCCAGCATCCACACAGAGCGGCACCGCCCGCATGGTGCCCTCACGTCACCCATGTAATTGATATTGCAGTACACATGTGATCCAGAGATTCAGGCTTGGGCCGAATGCTCACAACAACCGTTGGCCCAAAAAGGTGTCAAGCCGCTGCCACCGGCCTGCATACCCGACCCCGCGTGCTTTGCGGGGGGCCTCAGTAGCTGCTCAGGAACGGAGACAAGGGCCGGCTCGGCTGGGGGGGGGGGTGGCTTGGCATCTTTATGTACCGGGTCTTGTTTAGAATGGCAGGAAGGTGTGACTGCATTACTGTAGTAGTTTGTGTTTAAAGCGCAGAGACCAGAGGCTGATGAAGGCAAATGCACCGCGCTTCTTCTATAACGCAAAGCAAAATGCAAAGCGAAAAGCAGGAGCCAACCCCCTCCAAAAAAACAAAAGCCGGAGCAGGGTTCGAACCTGCCCGGCCCCCGTCGTCACCGCGCGTACCACGCACCTGCGGCAGGGAGCAAGGGGCGGAGGGGCGCTGCTGCACGGCCGGGATGCTTCGCTCCTTGCTTGCCCAGACATGTTTTTTGCACGCTTGGCTGGGCACTTTTGCGTCCCGCGTTTTGTTCACAATGGCAGGCAGGTGTGACTGCATCAATAGTTTTTTTTGTGTTTGAAGCGCAGAGACCAGAGGCTAA